ATGAAATGGAACAGCTGACATTTGCTAAAAATAGGAAAATAAAGACAGAGCACATGAAACTGAAATTAACCGAAAAGTAGCCCAAAAAGCTACATTTAGCAGAAAATTAGCTGAAAGGAGCAAAAAAATTGAAATTATTAGAAAGAAGCACAAAATGCATAAATTAACACAAAAAAGGCAGAAAATACCTAAAAAGTATCTAAATTTAGCAGAAAGATGATGAACTTAGCATAAAAAGCTGAAATTAGCAGAAAAAGGTTGTAAACAGCACAACGTGTTTGAAGGCTGTAACGAGAGCTCTATTCATTTTTAATGAGGAAAAAAAAAGTCTGAAAAAGCTAAATATTTCTAAAAAATTACTTAAATACCAAAATTCACAGCAGGATTGTCCTGATTGAGCCGAATGTTTTCATATATGAATCATTGAAATAGCACAACAACTGTGGAACAAAATAGATGCTGAAAAATGCACAGAAGAAAAAAGGAGCTTAATAGTGTGAATGATTTATAAGAAATGGCACAATAATGATGAATCACAAGACACAGGTTAAAACATAAAGACTATTTCAATCATAAAAATGTGGATTCTAAAATATAAACATTGAAAAAACCCTAACACTAAAAATATGACCGACTTTCCAGCTTAATATTTGATATATGTCATCTTTGGTTGTGAGTGATAAATAAATAAGCTCTAAGTGAGGCTGTCTTAAGATTTATTCACAGCAATAGATTTTGTTGAAGATGCCTGAAAACTGCACAAAGTGGACCCAGTTTTAGGAATTTACATCAAAATGTGATTTTTTTCCTAATTTAAAAAACTAAAACAACAACAACAACAACAAAAATATATATATTTGTGGTTTCGAAAAAAAAAAAAATCCTTGTAAGCTCAGCACAGTTTCAAAAAATGTCTTCATCCACACAAAAACAACCTAAAACGCTGCAGTAAGTCTGCCAGTCCTATATGTGGTGCTGTAACGCTGCCACAAACAATCACCCAAAACAGGAAACAAGGTGTGGAGCGTGGGCAAAGCGCTTAGTGCAAAATGTAAACACAACAGGAGAAGAGGCTGCCCTAGGGTCATAGGTTAGATATAAGTTTTGTCTATACAAACACAAGTGTGCCATTTAAACAAATATTTACGCTGAACCCATTATCAAACAATAGTCTTCCTGATGCCAAGATGCTCAGAGCAATTGCAGCTTCACAGGCTCCCGGTGCGATCCCAGTTTTTAGGAGTTTTGAAATTGACTTTGTGCCTGACTCTGCACGATTTATGCGTGTGAACTATAGCCTAACTGAACTGATGAGAACAAGAGCAGATTTGCCATGTAATATAGCAGAAATCGGCAACAAACTCTAAACTATGCTCGGCAGAATGCAGATCTTAAAGTCATCTACCTGGAAGCTACGGCCGAGGCATTCCAATGGGCAGAAGAGGAAGCGCTGCTCCCAGCTTAAGAAGAGAGGATGCCAGGCGGGGGGTATGGTGAGGCTACGTGCTAATGCTAAAGCTGGAAAACATCCGATACCGTCTTTCTGTCAAACGTCCGCTCATTGGACAACAAGATGGATTTGCTTCATCTGAGAGCGGGCGCCTCAGAAGAGATAATGAATTGTGTGGTGCTTTGTCTCACGGAAACATGGATTACAAGCAAAATGCCAGATTCAGGCTTCTAGCTGAATGACAGACTCTTTTTTTCCGAGCGGATCGCTGCAGCAAGCTAACGGGGAAGTGGAGGGGAGGAGGAGTGTATATTTACGGGAGTAAAAGTTGGTGCACAAACCGTATGCTCGTAAACCGTCATTGCTCTGAGGCTTTGGAGCAGCTAACAGTGAAATGTCAACCACAATATCTACCCTGTGAGTTCACAGTGGCTTTCATAACAGTTGTTTATATAGCTCCGGATGCTAATGCTAACGATACTCTGCAGGAGCTTCATGATCTTCTCAGCTCGCTGCAGAGCAAGCACCATGAGGCTCTTTACATAGTGGCTGGAGACTTCAATCACATGAATCTAAAAGACAGCCTCCCAAAATTTTACCAGCATGTGGGAATACCAATACGTGGAAAGAACATGCTGGACCATGTTTACACGAACATAAAAGGTGCAAACAAAGCTGAACCCCGCCCCCACCTAGGACTATCGGACCACATCTCAATCTTCCTGGCCCCTGCTTACCTGCCCCCGCTGAGACGTTCCAGACAGGTACAAAATAAAGTTAAATCTTGGATCCAGAACAGTGGCCCTATACTGAGAGATTGTTTTGAAAGAACAGACTGGGAGGTCTTCAGAGAAGCTTTTGAAAATGAAGGAGTGCTAGATCTGGACTAATACGCATCCTCAGTTATGGGGTACATTAGTGCATGTACTGACAACATCTCTTCCTTACGATGTGTTAAAATTTGTCCGAACAGAAAACCTTGGCTGAATGCAGAGTTTTGCACCCTGGTGGAAGCCATGAACACTGCCTTCAGCTCTGAAAACTCACATGAGATGAGAAGGACAAGGAAAGAGCTGGTTGCTGGTATTAAGAACGTCAAAGCCACATATGCACAGAGGATCAATTCACCTCACAAAACCCTCAGAGCATGTGGAGGGGCATTATGTGTATAACAGATTATAAAGGAAGGAGTGAACAATGCCCCAAAAACCCATCTCTGCCTGATGCCCTCAACAAGTTCTATGCACGCTTTGAAGACCTGAACAGACCACTCAGCACCAGACTCACCTCGCCACCAGATGAACAGCATCTCAGTGTGACCCCAGCAGAAGTAAGGAGTACTTTCAGGAGGATTAATCCGCAGAAGGCAACCGGCCCAGACAACATCCCTGGAAAAGTGTTGAAAGACTGTGCCGATCAGCTCTGCGAGGTGCTGGCAGACATCTTTAACACATCACTTACCCTGGAGACAGTTCCCACCTGCCTGAAGACTGCCACCATCATCCCAGTTCCAAAGAGCTCTACAGTGACTGGTCTGAATGACTATCGGCCAGTGGTCCTCACCCCGATAGTCACTAAATGCTTCGAAAAACTGGTCATGACTCGCATCAAAACAACCATCAACATCAACGAGGACCCTCATCAGTATGCATACCGTGAGAACCGATCAACAGAGGATGCAATCTCCTCTGTGATCCACACTGCGCTCAACCACCTGGAGCAGAAAAACTCTTACATCCATATGCTCTTTGTGGACTTCACATCCACCTTCAACACCATGATCCCCCAAACCCTGATGGACAAACTATCCACACTAGGACTAAGCCCCTCCATTTACAACTGGGTACTAGACTTCTTAAACAGACAACAGGATCCATAACTTCTCTTCCTCCACCATAACCCTCAGCACTGGCTCTCCTCAGGGATGTGTGTTGAGTCCTCTCCTGTTTACTCTGCTCACGTATGATTGTGCAGCTACCCATCCAGGCTGTCATATTGTAAAGTTTGCAGATGATACAGCGGTGGTGGGATGCATCACAAACAATGATGAGTCCAGCTACAGGCAGGAGGTGGAACACCTGGAGAGCTGGTGCAGAGAGAATAACCTTCACATCAATGTGAAAAAGACAAAGGGGATAATTGTGGACTTCAGAAGGAACAAACTCACCTACACGCCTCCGAAACATAAGAGGATCTGCGGTGGAAGTGGTCTCCAGCTACAAGTACTTGGGTGTACACATGAATGACAACCTCAGCTGGAGCCACAACACCACCAGCCTGATCAAGAAAGCTCATCAGAGACTCTACTTCCTCAGACGGCTGAGGCGAGCTGGTCTGGAAGCTCAGTCCTCACCTCCTTCTACAGGTGTGCAGTGGAGAGCATCCTGTGCTCCAGCATCAATGTGTGGCATGGAGGCTGCACAGCTGCAGAAAGAAAAGCTTTGCAGAGAGTGGTGAAGGCTGCACAGAAGATGTTGGAGTCAGTCTCCCCACCATCACAGACATCTACACCTCCAGATACAGGAAGAGGGCCACCTGCATCATGAAGGACCTCACTCACCCAGCACACACACTTTTTGCCCTGCTCCCCTCAGGAAGGAGGTTGAGGAGCATTAAGTGTAGAACCACTAGACTGAGGAACAGCTTCTACCCTGAGGCTGTTAGACTCATGAATCTCTAACCAGAATAATCACTGTGAAAAATCACATCATGTTGCTGCTGATCTGTTTCATGTTGCTGCTGATCTGTTTCATATTGCTGCTGATCTGTTTCATATTGCTGTGTTCATGCGTGCTCATCTGCTCACACAGACTCATGTTCGTGCTGCTGTTTGACGTAATGTTTTTATGCTATTAGTGCTTAGTGTATTTTTAGTTGATGTTTTTCTTAGTTCATATCTTGGATCTTATCATTGTTTTTCTTTTACATTTTATTGTTGGATGTAACTGGGACCCTGCGTACACAATCTCGTTCCACCACATGTACCACATGAGATGCGAATGACAAATCTCTCTGACTCGGACTCTGTGCTCCTAAAGCAACATTTATATGTGGATGGCCCAAAAAAAAAAAAAAAAAAAAAAAAAACCCCACTGGATTTCATTTGTAGGAGTCAAAATTCTGTGTCCAAACTGTAAAAATAGACGAACGTTAATGAATATTGCAACACATTTATTGCCTCCGTCGCTTTGATTTAGAGCTGACCTGCTTAGCCAGAATGTTACACACGCTTGCATAAATAAACATTCACTCTTTCAGAGAACGAGAACAGACATTTTAAAATGTATACAAATCAAACAGGTCATTCTGGGTTTCATGTTTTATTTATGAGGACACAAGCACCTTTTCATGTACGCTAATAAAACTGTCAAGTATGATTTAAAAAAAGAACAAAGATAGCAAAAAGAAAAGAAAAAGAGAAAGCACAGGGGAGAGGAATCAAAGCGTTTAAATGTGTTTGATCTTGTACCAGTTTAACACCTTATCGGGACATTATCTTCGCCTGTGATCAATTATTTATGCAGGGAGAAGCTCGGGGGTCGGGTGTTACCTTTGTAAACATCGGCTTCCCGTGCTGGGTGACCATGGTGCACTGATCGCAGTCCAGGGTGATGCAGGAGTTGTGGAAGGACTCCTTGGAGTGTTTGAGGATGTAGTGGAGCTCGGTGACGCCGCCCTCAAACACCGTGCTGAAATAACGGGGTATCAACGTCCGGCCGATCGCTGCGAGGAGACAAAAGACGGGACGGAGCAGTTAACTGAAAGAACCGACTGCTAAACGATGTGGAGAAGATAGGTTCAGCTTGAGGGCAAAAAGAAACAGAAGCCACAAATTAAACTGTGAAACTTTTTACAAGGACCTCGGCTGCAAAACTTTAAAGTGTGTTTCTCATTCATCCACATCCACAAACACTTACACGCAACACTAATCATCACAGATTTACTCTTTTTAATAGGACACATTCTGATTCTGCACAAGCACGGTGCAAGTGTTGGGTTAAAAGTAGAGTTTAGATTTTTTTATGCCCAAAGTTATTAAACATTTAGACCATATTTATCCACCATCTTCTCCCTGAAGCTCAACCAGTCCTTCACAGCAGCCTGAATCTGGTGCAGGAACTACACTTACTACTAGACACTGACAGGTTGAGATAATCGTGTGAACGCTTATGAAGCATCCACAAAGATGTGATCCATTTTTGTTCCGTATGTTTTTCAGCATCTTTCTCGTTCCACAATTTTTGTGCTATTAACAAATCATAAATCAAAACGTTCAAATCTTTCAGGACAATCCTGCTCTGACTTTTTGTATTGGTGCAACTTCAGCTTTTTGAGATATTTAGCCTTTTATGACACTTTTTTCTCACAGAAAATGAACTGAGTTCATTTTACATCCTTCAAATCTTTAAATCTGTTTACAACATTTTACTGCTCCTTTCACTTTTTGTTCTGATTCAGCTTCTTTCAGCTGTCCTGTGCAACAACAACAACAACAAAAAAACAGCTACTTTCAGCAAATTTCAGCTGTTTTTAAGCTGTTTTGTGCTTCTTTCAGCTAACCACAACATTTTTGTGCTTCTTCTAACTTTTTTCTGCTAAGTTCAGCTTATTTTGCTCCTTTCAGCTTATGTCTGCAAGTTTAATCTTTTCTCTGCTATTTCAGCTACTACTTAGTTGTTCATGCTAATTTTAGCTTTTTCAGCTAATTCCACATTTGTTGCACTAATTTCAACTTTTTCAGCCAAATTCAGCAAAAATGTGCTCTCCCCACATCATTCTGGTTATTTCAGCTTCTTTCTGATTTTTAGCTACTTTTCAGCAGTTTAACCAATTTCAGCTTTTTTTCCCCAGATAATTTCCACCTTGTGCTTATTTCTGCTTCTTTCAGCCTAATTTGGCAAATATTTTTTTCTGCTTTCTTCTGCTAGTTTAAGCTTGTTCTACCTGTTCAGCTACCTTTTTAGCATTTTCTAGTGAATTTTGGCTGTTTTCAGATATTTTTGTGGTAATTTCTGCTACTTTCAGCTTAATTTACTTCTTTATGCTAATTTCAGCTTGTTATACTGCTTTCAGCTTTATGCTAGTTTCAGCTTTTTCTGCTATTTTAGCCACCATTTAGTTGTTTTATGTTAATTTGAGCTTTTTCAGATAATTCTACATTTTTAGCTCATTCCAGCCATTTCCATTTCTTTCTAGTACCTTTGCTGTTTTAAGCTTCTTTCTGCCTTTCAGTGGTTCAAACAGTACTTTTCAGCCATTTTTTGTGTGTGCAAATTTCAGCTTTTTTAAGTTAATTTCTTAATGTTTGTGCTTATTTCTGCTTATTTAAACCTATTTCAGCAAATATGTGTTCTTTCTGCTTTCTTCTCCTAATTTAGGCTTATTCTTCCATTTTAGTTACATTTCAGCATGTTTTGTTTTTAAGTTGATTTCAACTGTTTTTCAGCAAGTTCTTCTACAATAAGCATTCACACTGAATTTTCACAAGAAATGCAATTTCTCTGGTTGGTTAGAGCATTTCAGGCACAACGTAACCCAACATATAAGCTCCTAAATAAACACAAAGTATAATGTATAAGCTAAAACTACTTTACAAAACAGGTTTGTTAACATGCTGAACAAGACCATAAAATGGGATTACATTTTTCGAATTAGGTATACAGACTGAGCCAGATTAAAATCTTGTCAAAGGCAAAATAAAAAGTGACTAATTACCGAGTCAATTATACAGATATTGAGCTAAAATTCTGTGTGGTAGCAGCTGCAAGTCATCCTAAACAAGTAGTCTGAGCTCCAACACGTCTCAGGAGATCTCACATTGCATGAGATCTTGCATAACTTCATTAATAAGGTTCGGCTAAAACAGATTCAGCTCTATCCCTTCTGTATGGGATGATCATAGTTTTAATGTCTGACTTTGCAAACGGGTGATATGCATTCAAGAGATCTATACCTTTTTTTGAATTTACTTTCAAACTGCTTCGCTTCTCCATCAGACCTGGGTTCTTGTGTTAAATAGCTGCAGACAGCACAACCATAAAGGCTGAGAGCACCCAGAGTGGATTGAAAATTTATTTTTGCTCTGCTGAAGAAGTCTTTATTGTGATCGTGAGTCTAGCTGAAGTGCCCGTGTTCTTAAACAACAATATACATTTGCTTCCAGGTTTAAATCTCCTGCCAACGTGTTATTCGAGCTTCATTACAGATACTAGAACTAAAGTACTTTCCAAACCTTAGAGGAATAATATGTCCTGTTTGTTTTCTCGCCACGAGGCAGATGAGGAGCCAGATCTTCAGCGTGTTTTAAAGCACGGAGCTGAAGCAGACAGACAATTAGTTTGACTTGGCATAATTACTGAAAACAGCAGGAGGCAGCTGGCCTGGCTTGGCGCCAGGACCAAACCTCCACAAATTAAGAACCTACTTTTACACCACACCTGTTGTTAACACGCTAAACAAACGAGATAAAGTGAGTTCATTACAGAACTTCACAGGGACTGACAGACACGCTGAACGTTCTTGAACTTTGGACGCAGACATTCTGGTTTCTGCTCCTTTGTGGGTTTTTTTACGAAGTTGAAATCATCAATTCCTGGCTCAACACACATACGAACGTAAGACTGGAGCCAGTTTTCTCTCATCGGTTTAAAATGAAATGTGGAAACAGTTCATTCGGAGGAGAGAAATTCTTACGTGAGGACTGAGAGTAGGCCTGTCACGATAACAAATGTTGCTGGGCGATTAATTGTCTCAGAAATGATTGTGATAAACAATAATATTGTTTGAAATTTGACAATAAGTAGTAATTATTGTCAAATTTAAGAAAAAATGTTAAATTTGTTTTGCATGTAGTACACTTTTTGGACCAGCGGATGGCAGTACAAAACTGTTTGAACCAAAGGATGGATAGTGAGGGAGTGAGCAGCATGTCTCTTTAAGAAGGGAGGGATGCCCCTTGACGTGACATGGGCTGTCTCTCTTTGGTTTTCAAAATGGTGGTCGCTCGGTTTGAGCTCTTTAGCATTTTTCACACAATTAAAAAAAAAAAAAAAAATAATCAGTAAACAAGTTCTCAGCTTCTTTTTGCAGAGAAAAACAACTTTTACACGAAGGCACAGATTTCAACTGTGAATTTTGGAGCTTCGACAAGACGGAGGTTTTTCCCCGGAGGTCGGCCTGTTAGCTTAGCTTGTAGCTTAGCTTGTAGCTTAGCTGCTTTTAATGATACAAAAACACAATTTTGGATGGTTAAAACAGACTTTAAAGAGAAAAGAGAAAGGGAAGGGGGTCTGTGAGGAACACCTGAGTTGAGCATTTTGTCATCCAGTGTCTTCAGTAGAAAGAGAGAGACATGAAGAAACAAAGCAGATAAATGAAAATGAGGTCAATAATTTCCATTTATCATGTGATTCATTGATTTATTGTTTATAGCAACAGGCCTAACTGAGAGCACGTTTCATATTTAATATAAACTCTCTGAACACAAGCGGTCCAACAGCAAATTCACTTGAAAAAACCAAATGTAATCAGACATAACATGTACGTTTCAGTTTGTGCCACAAAAGTTTGATAAAATATAAAATATCCCAGTCTTATTTGTATTTGTTTATTTGCATCATTATACCTGTGGCATATATAGCATTAAATTATCATATTTATCAAATATCAATTTGGACATTATATGCATATAAACAGAGAACTTCTACTAGTAATGTACTTTAATTGTGTTTGTGTATTTTTAAAAACTAAACTAAAATTTTAAAAAACTCCAGTGGTACACCAATGTCCCCCGTCACTGAGGGATTTGAATAGTGAGTAAGATCAGTGTTCTTCCGGACTAATTGAACAGGGAATGTAAGTGTAAATGTTTTTGGTGCAAGATATTCAAGTGGGCAGAAGGTACCACTGTGGAGAAGAACAGAGGAAGATTTTATGAGCCCAGAGTGATGTGTCCTGGCGAGTAGAGGGACCGATTTCATCCACCACCAGGCCCAATGGCGGAGCCAGAGGGTGGCCAATGGTGGTCTTGGCCACCATCAATCTTCAATCACCCCAAGGGCCACCCCAATAATTTGAAGAAACAAGACTTAAGAAATATAAAAGCTAGAAAACATATTTCCAAAAAAAAAAAAAAAAAAAAAATATATATATATTATATATATATATATATATATATATATATATATATATATATATATATATACATACACATACATACACACACACAAACACACAGAGAGGTGGCCATCTTGGATTTTGATGTGAACAAAACATGAAAGAAGCATAATGGCAGAGCGAACAGCTTTATAAGATGATTGATTAATTAATTAACATAAGAGGTGTAAGAAGCTCCTAGGAAGCAGGACCTGTCAGGTTCCTATGACTTAAAGGAATTAAATACCTACAAATGAACATTTTCTTATTCTGCAGTGTTATCATTTTATATCAACCTTTAACCGTTTTAGGATCATGATACGTTTTCACTGAACAGTTTCATGTAGTAGCCACACAGTGGAGTCCATCTTGAAGCTACCATTTCTGACAATTTAAAAATCACCAGTTTAACCGGCCCAGTCCCAAAGAAACATTTACTTTCAGAAATGAAGCGAGCTTCACAAAACCATAAAAGGCGTGGCAGAACTCAGCTGGGTTGATGTAGAGCCATCACGTATTAAATATGTGATGTCTCCCTCATACCATTTTCAAAACACAACATATTATAA